CCCCAAAACCCCAAAACCCCAAAACCCCAGCCAGCATTATTTGAAAAATTTGGGATGATTATAAATCATCATCAAATCATTCTAAAATTTAAAATCTAAATTTCTTTGAGAATTTAAATATGCGTACACTTATCTAGTGGCAGGATATGATTGTAAGAAAGTATTGAATAATATATTTAGCCTGCTCCTCCTACTGATTCAAATCTTACTAATTGCGTTTGGGCTGTTTGTTTCAAGCCAGGTAACAAAATATTATTATTGAATACAATTAGATGGCACTTAGGTCCTTGTGGCGGTTGCTGATAGAGTCTTCATTTATGATGCTCACACAGGAGAAATGATTAAACAAACTAGAGGTATGCATCATTGAGCTAATTCTCATATTATAGGTCACAAAGATTCAGTCTATTGTATCGCTTATTCAAAGGATGGCTAGAAATTCGCTACTGGAGGTGCTGATAATTCTGTGGTAATATGGTCAAGTGCTGGAGAAGGACTTTTAAAGTACAATCACAATGACAAAATTTAATGTTTATCTTTCAACCCAGTTCTCTAAAACTTAGCTAGTTGTTCATCTATAGATTTCGGTCTTTGGCAAGCTGACCAAGCTAATGTAAATAAGTAAAAAGTAAACGCCAAATGCTGTGCCTGTGATTGGTCACCAGATGGTTAAATATTAGCTATTGGATTAGTTAGCGGGTATATTTTAGTAAAGGACAAGACTGGAACTGATCTCTTCACTATATAAAAGAGCAACAATGCCATTTGGTGCTTAGCTTTCTGCACTTAAAAGTTTGATACATCCGATAACTCACTTATCGCTGGCTCATGGGATTAGAAACTTTCAATCTATTAAATTTCAGGAGGAAAACAGTATAAATAAGTTGGTAATGATAAGGATCTAGGATTTGATCCTTGCTCAATTAATTTCTATCCTACTGGAGAATATATGACTATAGCTGGAAGTGATAAGAAAATCACTCTCTGGAATAAAGAAGGTGTACTTTTAGGTACTGTAGGTGAAATGAAAGATTGGATATGGAGTGTGGCTGTCAATCCAGTCAGCAAAGGAATTTTCTCTGGATCCAATAACGGAATCATCGCTATGCATAATGTTGAATTCAACACAATCCATGGCCTCTACCAAGATAGATATGCTTATAGAGAATTAATGACAGATGTTATTATATAGCATTTAGTAACTGAAACTAGAGTTAAGATTAGATGTAGAGATTACATTAAGAAGATTGCAATCTATAAAGATAGATTGGCAGTTTAACTTCCAGAAAAAATTATTATTTACAGTGTATCTGGAGAAGATCCCTATGATATGAAATATAAGGCCTACAAGAAAATCAATAAGAAGATAGATTGCAACTTACTTTTTGTTGTTTCTTAGCATCTCATCTTAGTCTTTGAGATGAAAATCTAGTTACTTTCATTTAATGGCATCCTTGAAAGAGAATGGGTTCTTGACTCAAATATTAAGTATGTAAAAACTATAAGTGGTCCTCCCAAGAGAGAAGGTCTCCTTGTTGGTCTTAAAAATGGAAGTGTAATGAAGATTTTTATCGATAATGGATTCCCTATTCCAATCGTCAAATAAGCCACTCCAATTAAGGTCGTTGACATTTCAGCTGACAGATAGAAAATTGCAGTAATTGATGAATTTAACAGTTTGTTCGTCTATGATATCAGATCTTAGTAGCTATTATTCTAAGAGATTAATGTATTCTCTGTTGCTTGGAATCTTGAAATGGAAGATATGATTGCATATACTGGAAAAGACACTTTATTTATTAAGACAAGAGAAATGCCACCTTCCTCTTAAAGACTACCTGGATTTGTAGTTGGGTTCAAAGGATCTAAAATATTCTGCCTTCATAGCACTTCAATGAACACTATTGATGTTCCACAATCATCAACTTTTTACAGATTCCTTGAAAAGAAGGATTTCGCTATGGCATATAAGATTGCTTGTATAGGAGTAACTGAATAAGATTGGAGAGCTCTGGGTATTGAAGCTTTACTAGACAAAAATTTCTATCTATCTAGGAAAGCATTCGTTAGAATTAGAGATCTTAAATTCATTGATCTTTGTGATCTTGCTGAGTAAATGAATCAAATGAGAAACTTAAATGAGCATTGGCTAGTTGGAGAAATTCTTTCCTATTAAGGAAAATATAAAGAAGCAGTCCAATATTTCATAAAGAATAATCTTTAAGATAAAGCTATAAACTTATATACAACTCTCAAAAAATTCACAGAAGCAAACGAGCTTATCAAATAGCTTCCAAATGGAAAGAGCGATCCAGTGATTATGCAAAAATAAGCAGATTATTTGAGGGAGACTGGACAATGGAAAGAGGCAGCAGAACTTTATTAGTAAGCTGGAAAGTATAAAGAGGCTATAGAAATTTATGGAAAGAGATAAGTACTTGACTCAGTAATGGAAGTATGCAAGAATCTAGATAAAGCAAAGAATAAGGCTGAAATCGAACTTTGCGCTAAATATTTCAGATAAGCAGGTCATCATACTTTTGCAAAATAAGCTTATTTGATGCTTGGAGATATTAAAGGATTGATGGCGCTCCATGTGGAACTTCATAAATGGGATGAAGCATTTATGCTGGCGAAATAGAATTAAGATCTTTAAAATGTGATTTACCTGCCTTATGCAGACTGGCTTAGTGCTAATGACAGGTTTGATGAAGCATAAGAAGCTTATAAGAAAGCTAGCAGACCAGATCTATCATTGAGAATAGTAGAATTCTTAACTCATAATGCTGTCGTAGAGAAGAGATTCTAGGATGCTGCTTAATATTACTGGATGCTTGCAGCCGAATCGCTTTAATTAATCAAGGAGGCTGGTCCTAAAGCAACTAAATAAGACAAAAAATATTTAACTCATTTTGAAGAATATATGAAACTTGCTGAAATCTATCAAGCATATTAATTGATCCACAAATTTATAGAGGAAAGCTACTAAGCAGTAATTCAAGGTCCACTATTTAACGAAGCTATTTTCAATGCATCAAGATTCCTTGTTAGCAACCTTGGAAAGAGATAGCCAGCTGGCATTAACAAAGTCTACATCTACTATGCTCTTAGTTATTTAGGCTATAAATTTGAGGCATTCAAAACTGCGAGATTCGGTTATGAAAAACTTCAATCGCTCAAGATTCCAGTAGCTTGGCAAGATGATATTGATCTTGCAAACTTAAAGGTTAGAGCAAAGCCATTCTCAGATAAAGATGGATTCTCTGTGATTTGCAACAGATGTATGAACACTAATGCACTAGTCAATTCTACTGGAGACATATGCACATCTTGTGGACATCCATTTGTCAGAAATTTCATCGGATTTGATACTTTGCCCTTAGTTGAGTTCTAGCCAAGACCAGATATTCCATATAAGAAAGTACTAGAATTCTTGAAAATGGACCCACCTGAAGAAGCAAATGGTGCTGTGAGACAAGCTCCAAAGAAAAAGCAAAAGTAAGTTAAATACTGTTATAAACAATATAGTAGGGGAGATGGATGGCAAGAGAATAATAATGAAGATGAGTAGACCTTAAACTTCTAATAAGACTATGGCGAAGATCTAGAAAACGATCACTTCACTTAAAAGATGCTTGAATGGCTTGAAACTCAGGTAACAGCAGATTCCTATAGACCAGTTGAGGTCGACGAAAGAATTATGAAATCCATGAGGTATGAGGAAGTTTACGTTGTTGATTACTCTCAACTTTGTCCAACTCTTTAAAGGAAATTCTACAAGAATATGGTTCCTGATGTTGCCATTACAGTATGCGAGAAGTGCTGCAAATTCTTTATGCAGGATGAGTATGAATTCGCCTATATGGAGAAAGGCTGTTGTCCATTCTGTAAGAATGTAGAGAAAGATAAGGGTGTCAAGAATGTTTATGGAAGTCTTGCAGATATCCACCGATGAAGTAATAACTACTCTTTTAATAAGTTATATATAACTCATTTATGCATAACTATTTTATACTTACTAGGGGTTTTGGGGTTTTGGGG